TTGGTTCTGCAAGAAAGAGTAAAGAATAAACTGTTATTTGGTTCTGCAAGAAAGAGTTATCAAGATGTCATAATAAATGGAGTGATTCCTTTTATAATATTTTATTCAGTTAGCTTTTCATGTGCATCCATGTATTTCAATTATTTTTATAACCCTCTTTTTTCACAGTTCATATTAACAATGTTGATTTTTATTTTATTCAATGGACAAACTTCAAAACTCCTCCAGTGTTATGTCATTTTATTTGTCTGTTCTATTAAAACAACCAGTACTTTAACCATAGGCCATAGTGCAGATGATAGTACTTTAACAAGACCATAGATTCTAGTACTTTAACAGACCATAGAGTCGATTCTAGTACTTTAAGCACAGACTCTAAAACCAGATTCTAGAACTTTAACCATAAAAATAAATTAGAGCACCAGATTGTGCTCTAACAAAACCATAGAGCACAATCTAGTACTTTAACAAGTTCACAGATTCTAGTACCATAACAAGACTACAGAGCACAAATTCTAGTACTTTAACAAGACCATAGATTCTAGTACTTTAACAGACCATAGAGTAGATTCTTGTACTTTAACCACAGACCCTAAAACCAGATTCTAGTACTTTAACCATAAAAGTAAAATAGAGCACAATCTGGTACTTTCACAAAAACATAGAGCACAATCTAGTACTTTAACAAGTTATAAACAGATTCTAGTATCTTAACAAGACTACAGAGCACACAATCTAGTACTTTATCAAGACCATAGATTCTAGTACTATAACAGATCATAGAGTAGATTCTAGTACTTTAAAAGACCATAGAGTAGTTTCTAGTACTTTAACAAGAACACTGATTTTAGTGCTTTAACCACAGACCACAGTGCAGACTCTAGTACTTTCTTTTGGCTTCCTAACACTTTAATCTTTGAAAGAAATCGTGAAAGTTATGATCACCCCTACAGGTGTTAACACGTAATCTAAATGTTTGTACTTCACATTATTGGGAACAGTCGATGTTTATTTTGCTACACTGAAGAAAGTCTTATGTCAACTTTGACGAGAGGCCATGAACCTGTTAAAATCAAAGTTTGATGACAAGACTCGACAAGAGACAGAGATCAGGTTCATAGCTTATCTGTTCAATGTAAAACAATCATGTGTGTGTATGTTACAATTGATTTATGATATCATACTTGGAATGTTTTGTGAACTTTGATATTTGGAGCAATAATTGGAATATTTTCTCATGTTGACACAATGTCAAGACACATCACCTCAAATTGACCTCAAGTTGTACTTTTTGAAATATTAAAAGTGAAATTTGAGAATTATCTTTGGAAGTATTTGGAATGTTGATTATTAAAGATATGATCCTCAATCGTCTTATCAAGCCAAATAACTTAATTTTTATCTGTGAGGAATGATATTTGTAATGACCAGGAAAAATCTAAGTGTATGTTACACAGTGTCAACCACTGTTTACGCCATAGCCTGGTAATGTCTATGCCCATCAATACGTATAAATTATGGGTCTGTCCAAATGTGTATCAATGTACTAATTTTTCTTTATAAGTTCATCTATCCTGATATTTTTGGATTTTTCTTTTTTACCAATAATTATACTTATGTATATTTTTATATTGGTATATGGTAAATGGCATTTCTTTATTGCATTAAGTGTTTATGGTCACTGCATTTCATTTCTTATGGGGGGGGTCAAGGTCGTTAAGCGGGTAAGACGCTGGCTCGCTAGCCTGGAGGTCGGGTGTTTGATCCCTGCATTGGCCGAGAAAGTTGATCCAGATTTTCCAGCATGGTTCCGCCTTGTCAATGATGTAGGATGGAGGGCCTGACAAGAACAGCTGTCTAGTCGTTCGGATGGGACAAAAAAAACAAGGTCCCATGTACAAATTGGCGTGCATGTAAAAGATCCCTTGACAGTTGGAATTCGATATAAGAGTATGCCATGGTGCCGCTGTCTGGGCAAAATTTCACTCATCGCACACTGTATGGTGTATGCCGTCTTCATTAGCCCAGTTCAGAGCAGAACAGTAGGACATTAAACATCATTTCATTTCATTTCATTTTCATTTCTTATGGCTTCACTTCATTTGTATCACTGCACTTCAATTTTATCATTGCATTTCAATTTTATCACTGCACTACATATTTCAATATTCATAAAAAATGTGTATATTTAACTTTGTAGGGGTAAATATATATTTGTATAAGTACATGTCAACCACCTTTTATTTATAATGTGAATATAATGACAGGGTTTAATGTTTCAATAAGATTATCTATATTCAGTGTATGTAGAATGAAATGTAATAAAGACATCAACCATAATATATTTATATAAACAGTTTGTCTGACCCTTAGCCTCTATTATTTCATCACTTAAAGTGACACTCATTAAAAAGGCAGAGCATGCTAACTCATCCAGAATACTTGATACCACTTATTACTGAAGCCTTTTATAAAGGTGAATTGTCTTGTGCTTAGTTCATGTAGCTAATTGGTTTATCTTTACACACTGCTTTACAACAATTGTTTTATTCTCTTATCTGTTGTGTATGTAGTTTGCTATGCAGCTTTCCTACATGTTTAATTTAAAACAATGTTTAAATTTTTATCAAATTGTAGATTGATAATAAAAAAAAATAGTTACTGAAAATATCATCAAATATAATATAATCAATTATTCACATTGCTTTTTCAACTTTCATTCCATTTTTGTATAATTTGTTTTGTCTGTGGTTTGTCATGCAGCCTTCCTGCACGGTATACTTAAGATGGTGTACAAATTTCATCCAGTACAATACTGTTACTAAAAGTATCATCAAATATGAATCTTGAAGGAGATAATAAAAGAACAAAGTTTCTGGTTTCAATGCTTAGTCGCTGTGCTTTATTTACTTATTGAGGGGGTTCGCAGGCTGTTAGATCATAAGGTCTGTCATTGGGTCAAGTGGTATGGTTTCGATTCTCTTGTATGTGACAAGGAGTAGGGTCATCTGTCCAACCTTGTGGACTTACTCCTGATCCTCCAGCATATGTTAGTCCTGAAATGACCCATTTTGTGTCTAGTGGATATTAAACCCTATTTCTCTCTCTCTCGCACTTTATTTAGAGTGACTATAACTTCAATAGTAACAGTAACCATGTTTAATTATATATAAAAGTATACAGGTTTTGACAATAGACAGACAGTATACAGACAGGTAGATTTATATCAGACAGTCATCAGGTACTAATTACAGGTAGTAAATATATTACATATACAGAGATACTACACTACACGGTTGTATGTTTTTGTCTCGGCTGGGTATGTAACCCTTGCAACCTTGAATAAGACACTTTAATTGTATTATAGTGTACCCCGACATAAAATACTACAAATTACACCTATTTTTATTTTTGTGCTATTAAGACCTGGTTACCCCTCATTAGTGGTGCAGTATGGAAGGCCTGTCAGTCATGTGGGTTGGACAAAAAACTATTTCATACCATTAGCAGCATATCAAAGATTCCCTGACCGATAAAAAAAAGAGTAGGTAGTAACACCACCATCCAGGCAAATTTGACCTTTTGCACAATGCATGGAATATGCCCATCTTCTTTAGACCTGTAGGTGAAGCTCATTTCATCTTTTCTGCTGATTCTAGTATAGGTCCTACACAACACAAATCACAAACTGATCAGCACTGAATATTCCTTAAGTCGCTAAAATCACTGATAGGGATGACATTTTTGCGACTTAATGAGCCTCAAATATTAACTTTTTCCCTCCAACAAATTAAATTCTAAAACATTTTTTTTATGTATTACAAAAATAAATAAAGACGTTTGAAGTATTTTAAGGTAAAAATTATTTTCTATTTAGTTTAAATGGGTATTAAAATGAGTATAAGGCACCATTCTGCCCAAATCAGTAACGTCTTATGTAAACAATGCACGTGCTATTGAGCCAATGATTGACGCCGCGTGATGTGACGTCACATGTTGATGACTGTCATCTTTAACAGAGATATTAGAAGTCTTTCGTAATCCTCTGTAAAACAGATTGCACAAATCACTTTAAGCTGCTCCATTTTATGTGTGTGTGCTATTAACCTGTATTTGTATAATACAATATATACAATTGTTCAATTATTTATAATTAACTAAAATAAGAGCACATCAAAACCATCAGCTGTACGTGCATTTATTATTTATGTACTTTTTATGAAGGGGAAATTTAATGACTAAATATACAGAGTTATCTCCCTTGACACATTTTTGCACAAGGGATTTGATTATAATTTCTACACTGGCCTCTAGTTCAAAACAATTTGTTGTATGTGTGTATTATCTCTGTACAAATATGTTACTAAGTACAAAAAAAACCCAACATAACAATGATGACAACATTAGAAATAACAGGTTTGTGTGCCATTTTTGCTTTGAAGAGTTATCTCCCTTTAAATTGTAATTTTGTCTTTATAATACTTGTATATTTTTTAGTATCATTAGATTATATGGCATGCAGTAATTAAAATGTTCACAATTTAATAACAAATTAAATCAATTTACTTTGAAGAGTTATCTGTTTGGTATCCACTAATTAAAATTTGTCCGGTTAATTGAAAATGTGAAATTACATTAAGACTGGGTATATTTCTGTTACCATGTTTGTTTTGTATGTTGTGCATGTTCATCGTATAAATTCACAACTTGTTTTGAGTTCTTTTTGGCAGGCTTGTTCTTTGGACAATTGGGCATTGATTGACCGATATCGATTTTTGTGATGGAATTGTGATGATGTCATGGTCAGTTCATGGTTCATTATATAGTATGCTTGTGGTTGTTAAAGAGTACTATTTTGTAACATTTTATAGTAAATAAACTATTTTAAAATTAACTATTACTAGAACTTAAAGAAGCTTTATCTTATCTATATCCCCCAAACTTTCCTGTGTGTACTGGTTGGTATAAGGAAGTGTGTAATATAGACAAATATAACTCACTTTGACAGCCCTGTGTTCATCTTTACATCCAGGATGTTGACACGATATATAGTCTTCCTCTGTTAAAATATACAAATAAACAAAGAGTTAAGATTATAAATATACCATATTTATACATGAAAGGATAAAAAAATATACAGTATTCATATACACACATGCAAGCTAAAGAAAATCATTTTGCTCAGAAGAATAAACGAAAGTATAGTTGTAAGTGGTCATATGCATTATTGACTTTTGAACATTGTATGTAATTATTTGAATATTATTCAACTCAATTCAATTTCTAGACACTGCAAATCTGTGAAATCAGTATATTTTCTTGAACATTACTTGATGTCATACTTGATGTCAATGAATTAATATTAGTAAATATTTCATAGGAGACAAATTATTGATTAAATTCCATTAGTTTAAATTTATGTTGAATAGCAAATAGTAAAATATTTAGTTCAGACAGCCTTAAAAAAAAATTTTCTAGCTCATTTTGGGGTCAAATAATTTGATGAAATATGATCTACTACATTAGTTTGTTTAAAAGGACAATTTGGGACATCTACAATAACAGTGAGGCTGAGGTCCCACACCTCAATCCCCAAACCAATAGATGACACTCATTAATTACTGGCATATTTATCTTTTTAAAAAGCTTCCAGCAATCACATTGTTTATTGTGCTGCATAACCCTAGCAGAAAATGCTCACTATCGATCTTCTTCAATATATCGATGTATACACTAACTATATACTCCCCCTCCATTAGATCAGCGTTATTCTCTTGACAAATAAGCGGAAAATGATCATTATCGAAACCAGTCACCTAATGAAATGCCTCACCAAGTTTGAACAAACTAGTTCAACTAGAAATCGAGTTATTACGTCCCAATAAAGAAAAACAGACAAACCATTTTAATGGTAATTCTTTCTGTATAAAAATATTTTTCAGAACCATTAGATCCTTTGGCATTCACTAATTAAAATGTTCACATATTCAAAATGTGAAATTAATTATGATTTTACGAGTGGGTTGATTTCTGTTAATATGTTTGTTTTTCATGTTTGTTTTTCATTAGATCCTTTGGCATCCACTAATTAAACTTTTCACATATTAAAAATGTGAAATTAATTATGATTTTACGACTGGGTTGATTTCTGTTAATATGTTTGTTTTTCATGCAGTGAGTGTTCACCATTTAAACATACATTATGCAAGAGCTAAATCTGCCTATTGCAGGTCTTTTTGTAGGCCTGAAATGTTATCTAAATTATTAATTAGACATTAATTTAACTTATCCAGACCATAATCAACTGTCGATGTCAACACTAGCCTGCGATATTTATTTGATTAGGAACTGATTTGCTACTAAACTTTCATTCATGATTTAATCATGAACTGGATAATCAAGACTATGTTTTTTATCGTACCGACTTTAGTAATGATGATCAAGGCTAGGCCGAAAATTCAATCGCTAAAATCTTGGTTTAGAGGGGATCAATTTGACTGAAATTTTCAGCAAATTCCCTTTACATTATCTACATGTAGTTTTTAACTACTATAGTGAGTAACTGCCAGCTCTTTATCTAATCTCCCATAATATATCTTTAAATTCACAGATTTCTTTTCATTATGTACCCTAACATATTTTTCAAGAGAACTTGTCTGACCAATTTCCTAAATAGTAAATAAATTATTTCAAAACTACCGAAGATGGAAACAAATGAGTAAGATTTATGTTACAGTTATATGGTGGGGGTGGGGAGGTTGAAACACCAGATTGGTTAACCTTGACTGTCACTCTAATGCAGTGATGTGATTTCAAATTTTTTCTTGTCAGACATTTTTTGCTGAAAATAAAGGGGCATAACTCTTACCGTTATTTAAGCAGGCGTTTTCAGACCACAATAAAAAATCACGTGTCAATATTCAAATTCATACGTAATAAAAAATAGGTGCACCTTGTTATTTTTCATATTTAATTCCCGTACAGTATTCAAATTTATGTCAGTAATATTCCTACAAAATTACGTGTCGTCGTAATAGGATAGAATGAAAGCCTGCCGACCCGTACCTGTTTCAAACTCCTCCAAAATTACTGTACTTTTGGGGGTATAATTCGATACTTTTTTCAGCACACACAATATAAAATCTTTTATTGACAGTTCAACAGGGGAAGCCAACATTTTATGTTCCAAGATGCCAAATATTATCCGTAGGATGTGCCATATAACTTCAAATAAATACAATGTTAGCACCTATTCAACCTGTGGCAGACATGTCGGTCTACTGATAATATATAGGGGAAAATACAGATAATTCAAGAAAGTCATAATGGTAATTTCTAAATATCAGATAATGGGCTGCAATGTGCTACTTGGAATGTGGAATGGTCCAATGGGATGCAAACTATATGCTGACCAGAACTATATGAAAACTCTTACCCATGATTGAGAAGAGAATCTTGGGGGTAAAACTAAGATTCTTAATCATATTTACTGGAGCTTTTTTAAGTTTAGCCAAGGACTCTTGGAGAAACATGATGGAAGGTCTCATTGAAAACATAAAACTCATTAAATGTATTTCTCTCCTTACAATGTATTTTATATTTCTTTCCACCTCACCAAAACCATATAAAATAACAAATCACTTCAATAAATATTTATTGATTTTGTAGTTTTAAAGTTATCATAATAACTTTAAAATATTCTGATCTCAATCTCTAAACAAAAGCCGCTTTTCCTGATGTTTTCGTTATAATTAATTTATGGAGCTTCCAACAGTTCATTCACTTTATAAACATACTACTCAAAATGGATTAATTTTGTAATTTAAACCGCATTACCACAAACAAATGTTTAATTTTTTTTCACGGTCACTTTACTGATTATCTTGATTCTCTTCCAGTTAATTTAGTTTGGAAGAATGTTCGTTGTTAACGTGTCACAAAATATATAGATCATAACAAAATCTACGACAATCGCCAAAATTAATGATTAATCTTTTTTTCACCCTTCGCCCGAAGACAGGTAGAATGGTCCAATTATATCGTCTGTGTTTAGTTTAGTTAACAAAAGGTAGAGTTGAAAATATAATTGACGACAGCCCGGGGATGTGGCACATTTCAACAGTGACACAACGTGGGATTAGAGGGCAGTATAATATGTTGACAGAAATCTTTTGTTATGAGCAGCAGATCTCTTTAATTATATTAGCAAGCCACTACTATTCATATTGTCTCTTCAATAAATCACTTGAGAATATCTTCTGTACATTTCGTTTCAAGTTCGTCCCAATAGAAAAGTTCAAGATAGTTGAGCAGTGAGCACTGGTGTTAGCTGTTCAATTAAATTATATCTATGAGAAATTCATTCCAGATTTCATGCTTTCTAATAATGGTTGCCATACTTTTCAAGAGTTTATCCGATTAAACACTGAAAATTTTCCACTGTTCAAAATTCAAAGCATGGAATAATCCTAGAATTGTTGACGGAAATTTAAAACTTTCAATTTTAAATAAAACTGGATGCAATGATTTATTTCCACTGAACAGTGCATCAGACTTTTCACAAACATTGGATATTTCCAAAATCTGCCAATTTCTCTGACTGGAATCAGCACTAACACTTCTGTCCTGTTTCAACTTTCAACTTATTATGGAATAATTTTGATTCCAATGATACGTACATATCAGACGAAGTAAAGAATCTGATTGTCACGATAACCGATTTAAAACAGATTACAATATAACCTGTAATTAACAACCAAACACTCATCTATTCGCAAATTACAGTATCACCTCTCATTAAAGACCAATCAATCATCATAATTATGATTATAATGGCATGATTAATATTGTGATGATGTTTGGCACACGGTATGCTTACACTTTCTATAACATCTAGTACCACAGTTCATCTATTTCACATAACTGACACTAATCTATGTGACTTTAAACATAAATATCCCATCTCGACATTAGCTATTCTCAAATAAACTCTTACAAAACCTATTATCAGATCAGTTTATGTATTTCAAAATTGGTAGATTATATTCATAGTGAACTTCGTAAACACTACAAATCTCTTTTTCTTTTTAATCTGGCATGGTCTTAATAGAGAGATTTTAAGACACCTTACAAAGAGAATTATATTCTACAGGCGTTTCTTTAGCCACTCCATTAAGTTTTTGGTTTTTTTTCAATCTAGCAAAGTTTCAATGCACTGCGATAGGCGTTTATTTAGCGATTGGATTAAAGAACATCAAAGGTACATCAGTAGAGATAATTAATTGAAATACAATCTGTTTATCGTGATTATTTAATCCATTTGTAATACGACACATCCTTGTAGAACTGCTTTTGTAGACTCTTAAAATCTTAAACACAAAATTCTCTTTTACACGGATCAACATACGTTGCTCAAAATACACTACTTTAGTTTTTGTAATCTGAGATTTGTAAAGATCATTCTAGTACCTTTCAATTTCAGTTAGTTTACTGTTCTGATTTAAATCATCTACCAATAGTTGTGTTCGGGAATGTGGTGAAAAAAATGCACAACCAATCAAATATAATTGCAAAAATAAAAATGTATCAACAATTTCAAATCAATGAATAAAAGTTTCTACACAATTTTCATGGTTCATGAAACACTGTGAATTACATCACAAATAAAAACATCCTTTTTCCGATTATAACCACACTTAGTCAAAAAATATATAAATTCCTACAACATGTACATTCCTTAGTATTGTTATAATAACCACATTTTTCATAATGTTCACTTTTTAGCGATCTTCAAATATCAGTTTATCATATCCTTTTCAAATATTCAAATTCCGCCCGAAGCACAAATCATCTTGAGGGTAATAATTTAAATTAATCACTGTACTTGTTACTACATATATAAACTACAGCTGTCAATAAAATAAAACAACATTCTTTAATCGGACTAAAACTGATACACCCTCGTACATTCCTTACAAAATGAAAACTCATACCTTTCCGCTCATATATCATATACCTTACACTCATTCAACTCAATTATTAATTAAAAGACAATTTTTT